TCATTCAAAATTGTAAAGATAAAAATTTTGAAATTTTAATTTTTATCGAAAAAATGAATATATTTTACTATTAGGTTTTGATATAAAGAATAAAATATTTCTGAAGGTATTAATAGCGAACTTAATAATTTATAATAATTTCCACAAAAAATATTTCTTAAAGGATGAGAAAAAGATACATGAATGCATTGAATGTAAACAAATATTTCAAAGTAAATTGCACTTAGATGTCCACCTGAGAAGCCATACTGGTGAGAAACCGTTTCCATGCGATATCTGCGGTAAAAACTTTTCCCAGTCTGGAAATTTAACAATTCACAAAAGAACACATTCAAAAGAACGACCTTTCAAATGCAGCTGCGGATACGCTACAACAAGGAAATTTCATCTGTTATCACATGTCAAACGATTACATCCAAATGCAATCGCTTCTGATATTATTACTGTAAGAATTATGTTTATGTTTATTTGTGCATTTAAGTCCATATCCATTTTTATGAAATATAATATACTTTAAGTTAAAAAATTTGATATAAAATATAACATTATGATGTACTATATAATTGGTTTAATTATTATAAATAAAATTGATAATTTATAGTGAAACATTAACAAATACACTTTTTATATCTCTATCGTAAAAATCGTAAATATTAATTACTAATTAATAATTCATTTGATACTTAGATTCCCCGGAAAGAATCGAAACATAAATGTAATAAATGCGGTAGAAGTTTTCCATGGTTATCCACTTTAACAAAACATCTAATATCTCATGAGAAAAGTCGACCGTTTTCATGCGATATTTGTAAGAAAACGTACAAACATAAAAATGACTTAAAAACACACATGAAAATAGCACATCCACAAGAACAAACCGCTTGTTCTTCCAAGGTACGTAAAGAAAATTTCTGAAATTCACTTTTATAAAATTATTTAAATATTATAATGCAGAAAAAGTTATTCACTTTGTAAAAGATTTTTAAAATTTCTTCTCAGATTATTTTTGGTGACTTTATTACGTGATACTTGTAAATAATTTTATTTTGTAACTTTCATTCATAAAATAACACTGCATTGTTCATTTAAAGTAAAGAAACAATAGAAAACAAAAAGTAATTATTGTAAGTTAGTACTTCCAGTCATTCGATAATAAGCAGCCATGAGCCTAAATTTACTTATTATAATTATTTATAATAAGTTTAATCGTAATAATTGTTTTGAAATATATTTTTCTCTACGTAAGCTTTTTACAAAAACAATTTCTGTTTAATTTGTGAAATTTTTCGAGCTTTAGCACTGATTGCTTATTGTTCTTTTGTTTTTTATTTGTTCTTTGCAATTAAGAACAAAATTGCTACAGAGAATTTATCATACAGAAACAAATTATACGATAAAAAACGTACATTATATATTTCTTATTATATAATTTAAATGCATTACGGGTAAGATGCCGCTCACCAGTCTTTATTTTATGCTGAAAACATATAAGAAATTACAGAAGAAAGTATTACTTATTTATATTTTACATATGTTTAAAACTTACAAAAAAGGTTTAAAGAATGTAACTAATAATAAGTAATAACGTAGAGTAAAACTAGAAAATCGAAAACGAATAAATAAGTATAATAATATCACTAAACACAAATAATAATAATAATAATAATAAACAAATAAAATACGGAAATTCCATGAAAAATAAAAATAATTATCATTAATATTCAAAGTAATATAAAATTTGTAACATTTCAAAAAACAAAACGTTTAAAATTTTTTTTAATTACTTTGAAAAACTTCTATATTTTATTTAGAAAAACGATATTTATCTTAAGATATTTTAAAAATATTTTAAGATATTTATTTTATATAAATTTTAAGTCGCTAATAAGTTTAAATCATTTAGCAAAAAAACAATACAAGATTTGAATAAATAGTAAAAGAGTTTGTGAAAAATAAACAAAACAATCGATACATAAATCATACATCGCTATTTAATTGAATAAAGTGTGAATAAAGAATGTGTGAAGTGTGAATAAAGAATATGTTAAAATTTTGTGCCTCCTTATGGCTGGCGTGCTGGGAGGTTGTCTAATTTGTATAAATAATAGCGCTGTCTATATCTAATTATATATATACAGTACATGCTAAGTAATATGTATAATTTTTTAAAATTTATAAAACTTTATTCCTTAAATCTATATCATTACCAATGTCAAATTTCTAACAACAATAAACATCAGTAGTCAAATATTATCTGCGTGTTAAATACGAATAAGATATGATTATAAATTAAGTTTTCATTAACATTATAAGAATAAAATTTCATTATTATCGAGTTTTCAATTATTATCAATGTTCGTATTTGTATTAGAAGGAAATCTACTTCTTAGAAACATTCTAAATAAATTTTCTCGTAATACAGTAGAACGTCGATTTTCCGAATCAATTGGAAACTGGGGTTGTCCGGATAACTGATATTTCGGATAACTGATTTACGTACGAAAAAATTGTTTAACGTATCCGATGTCGAAATTTTTCTCCGTTGCGTGTCGCTTCGCGTTGAATTTTCGTCGATGTTAAGCTTAACAAAGACTATTGTATCGTTAAAAATTATCTTTTTACTTTGTACAAACAAAATAAATATATTGAAAAATATAAAAA